AGGAGGAGGAGGAGGATTAACAGAGCCATCATTACCACTACCAGCAGGAGAAGCATTAGAAGGACGCTGATTAGCACAATAAGTATTAGTATCACGAAGAGTATCAGCAGTACGTTCAACAGCAGCATCAGTTTCAGGAGGAGGAAGACATTTATCAACTGAGGTAGAAGATGAAGAAGAAGAACTCCGGGAATTCCCAGCCTCAGCAGCCGCCACGCAAACTGAGGCAACACTCATAATTAGAGCCAGAAAATACAATACACGTCGCACCTGCATCTTGACAAAGAAATATTCTTTTTGTTCTTTGTGGGTAGTTAACCTGGACGAAAGAAAAAAAGAATCGTATAGAAGAAAAAACAACGAAATAGACAAACACAAACAGAGGAAGAAAAAAGAATAGAAAAACAAACAGAAGTCATAAGAAAAACACAAACAAATCAACATAAACAATAAAGAAAACCTTTATAGTGGTAACTTGTAGAATTAAAAAGCAAAACAAAAAAAGGAAATTAAGAGCAAGACCAACTTACCCAGTAAATACAGAAACCACCGTGAACACCAGTCATGCTTGAGATACTATGCAATTATGAATATAAATGCTTCTTTTATTAGTTTTATTAATTCCCAGAGCAAATCAACATCAGTGGAGCAGGTCAAAAGCACAAAACACACAACCACCCAAGCAAAAGAAACAAGCAAACAAAAGATATTAACTATTGAGCCCAATGTACCAAGTAAACATAGAAATATACCAACTATGGGTGTACGTCTATATGTGTGTATACGCAATTATAAATATAAATTCATCTGTTATTATTATTTCCTTTTCCCTCACTACAAAAAAGCAGTTCATTATCATCACAGTGCAAGCCCAGGTGCACACACACAGAGAGTCTCCAAGAACACACACACACACACAATGGAGTAGCAATAATAATTATTATTATAGGATAAACAAAGAGAGTAAAAACACACACAAAACACATTAACATTAAGAAACAAAAAAGAAGAAAAATATCCCAACAGGTGAAAGATCAGTTAGACTGTAGTGTGGATGTATGCAAAAAAAGAAAACAAAGGATGACCTGACTCACACCACCACCACCATTACAATCAGCACACAAGAATACAGGCCAGTGTAACCACAATCAGTAGTGGTACACGCACCCACACAGAACTG